GCCGTTCAGAGTACAAAGAGGAAGAAGGTAGTAACAAGGAACCTTTCAAAATCCTAACAAAACATTATTCACAAAGATGCAACGAAACGCAAAAGCACAAAAACAGCAAGAACTCAGAGCCGAACGATACCGCAGTAATTTTTACGGCCCTGGGAACACTGCATGAGATTTATCCTTTTTTGTTGTCATTAATTTTTAGAGCAAACAAATGACTGATGTGTTTGTTTTTACGAAATCGCTTTACAACACTGTTTAGAAGTTATGAAACCATAATTCTGGCGCTATCACAAGATACAGGGGCACTGTACGGCAACGCCTTCAAAACGGCATCAACATCTTTTTGTATCAAGCGGGGCTAAATCTTAGCAGGAGAGGAGAGAAAGGGAGTGGAGCAGGATGCGAGAACAACTTCAATGAATGAATTTTCAATTCCCTCAGAATTCCTGCCCCCATGGACTTAGTCCTAGAGGAACCCTCAGCGTCTTGCGAAATCGTCCCTATTTTTTCCCTCAGCGTCTTGCGAAATCGTCCCTATTTTTTTCCAGTGCCAGAACAGAAAGAACGGTTGTGGATTTCTTGGTAATTCACATTAGCATTATTCAAAGCATCGATGCCTACCACTTTTGTAGCCACATTTCCCGAACGTGCCAAGGTGGACATCCTTTCGAGCTCAGCCCTCTGTTAGATTGACCCTGAAAGATATGCTCAACAACTTCCTCAGACGGATAACAAAAACTTCCACACATACTCAAACAACGAGTAAACGAGTCGACGATGTCGAACGTTGAACCGAGTAAAATGAGAAACCATCAAACAAGTAAAAAAGTAGAACAGTAGCCGCTAAACTGACGTGCTGGATAAACATCGCGATGAATAAGCTTCCCGAACTACACGTTGCTTTCAAAAACGATAAACGCCTTTGTTCTACCCATTTTACGTCGAAAACTGGTAAAAAGAAAAGTTTCGGACCACAACCACCAAAACGACCGGGGCCCACACCGATCTTCGCAAAGTGTTGCGAAAACGAATCGACGTGGGCGCGACGGGCGGTACGTCGCGCGCGGGTGCCAGCGCAACTCGTCCGTGGACGAGTTTCCCGGCTTGCTTGCCTGCTTGCAAGGACAGCAAATGCTCTCTCTGCCCGGAGGACACGGGATCCACTAGTATCACACAGCATGTCGGCAGCCATAGCTGAAATTTCTCCGTCGCCCGGCCGCAGAACACCTGGGAGGGTGGTGCAGTCGACTAAGCGATCCCGATCCTCGACGTCGAATCGAGGACGTTCACAACTCGATCGGAATCGACTGCAACTATGAAACCGCTGGACTGCTAGGATTTGAAAGATGGTACGTTTTTTGGTGCTCTTGAGTAGAAGAGAATAATTGCAGATGTAGGGTTCGCTCATAAATCATGAGAAACCGTCAGCCTGCACATGAAAACCATTGGAATGAGCAAAGGTCTCGATTTCGAACGCGCATCGGTTAGATTTCATTTTGAGCGTAAAAGCTTTGGCTATTTTTATAAGTTAGAGAGAGCAAAGAGGTCACGAGTGCCATCCGATGGGTTATTGATTATTTGTTTTCCATATTTGGATGGGTTTCGAATGTCGGAGCTCGGAATCTGGGCACATGAATATTTGACCAACAAAGAATGTGGGAGGGGAATTCCCAATTTTTATGATTCTTTTATTCGTTCATTACAAGCAAAAAGTGTCAATTCGTGGGTAGCTCCCTATCACAGACCAGTTTTACCATTTCTTGGGATCATGCTGTGGTAACAAGTGTGCATGATTTTAAAGAGTGAAGATGGATTCGAATAGAGCTTTTAAGGAGCAGAGCGAGCGAAGCTGAAAAGTAGTTAAGTAAAATGGCCATAAGACCCAGTTGTAACAGAGAAGAGTTCAGTCAGTTCCCTAGGCCACGAACATTGCTATGTGAAGCCAAAGATGGGACGTGGCATGACCATTTCTGTGTATGAAACAAGTCTTTCGAGCTTAATCCGGTAGGGGGAGGGAAGTGCTGCGACAGATGCTGCCATCTACAAAAGTTCCAATTTTTGCAGGGGGAGGAAATTCCCGGTGTGCGTGAACTATTTCACATCCGCTTTTACACTCATCCCGGAGCTTCGCTCTCCTATGAGAAATAGAATTACTTTAACACGTTGACGACAGCCCCTTGTGCGTGTACTTCGGCACCTTTTTGTTTATTTTTTCACAATCGTCATAACTTCTTCAATAATTCCACTACTGGTAATTGATGCACAGTTTTTCGGATAAGATAATGCATGCACACAGTTTTGAAATATGAAAAATGCCAAATAAATCGAAAAAAAAAACTAGCCAGAATCGGGTGAAATTCTGACGCGCATGCGCGTCATGCTGTCGTCAACGTGTTAATCGATAGGAGCTGTCGTTCCATGTGCCTTCCCCTCATGATGAGACCCACTTTTTTGACATTTGTCATATTATGAACGCAAGCTACCACTTTACATTTTGTACTCCGAAAAGTCTTTCTAGAATTGGAATCCTCCATATCATACAGATCTTCTCTCTGAATTTTCAGTTTGCGTTGAATGGTAGCATTTTTGTCTTTTAGTGTGGTGAAATAGTTATAATGATGAAGGCTTGTAGAGCGTTATGAATTCGAACTGGTTCATTGGCCAATGGTCGTGGTAAATGATTGATCATGAGCAAAGGTATTGAAATCTCTCCTTCTGGTAAAAGTAAAGTTTGCAGATGGGCGGTAAGCGGTCAGGGCGTGCCGCTGATTCGGACCGTGTACGGACGCACTTGTTTTTTACGAAGCAAACAGAACGACAACATCAAAAAAGAAAGCGCCGAGCTCAGAGTTAGTTAATTATACCGTCTTTCGGTTTCCTTCACCCTTGTTATAATGTTTGTCATAATTTTTCATTGATGGTTTTTTAACTCACTGCAAGCTCCGTGATGCACATGGCGCACCACACAGCCGCTTGTAGGATGGTAGTTTTATTCGATTGCTCCGCAAATTTCACTTTTCGAGTGTATTTGTACTTTTCCTATCCGGAAAACGGCCTATGTACTGATACTCTTCGATTGATGATTATTAGTTACCGATGAAAAAAATGAAAGATGTGGCGATGCACGAAAACACCGAACCGTTGTGGTTTCAGTATTACTTTTCTGCTTCTGTATAATGCATATGTGCTTTTTATTCTATGCAGGCTAAGAGTTACACGAAAGATTGATGAGAACATATTTCTTACAGCACAGAAGTGTGCGTGTTATAGTGTTCCTCAGACCACAATCGATGTTTCTTGATTGTCAGTCCTGTCAAGCTTTCAGAGCTTCTTGAGAGAGCCCCTTCGCAATCACTAATACAGAGCGTAGTTCTGCTATTTCTGTAGAATGATTCCGTCTCCGCGAATCTCATGCTCCCTGTTCATGAATATCGACTTTTCTTATTGCTGCTATAAAATATCCATTGATCCCCAGTAATTTTGACTAAGCTCAACCCCTCCCCCCCCCTAGCCCTCATGATACCGCTTGTGTAAAGCGCGCTTTAGAAAGTGCTAACACACTTAGCGGGCTTGTGATGGTGAAAGAAAAGTTTACTCGAATGTGCAGATGAAATTTGAGCCTTCACTTGCACCTTACAACCCTATCAATTCCATTTCTCTTTATTTATTTCGTGTGCTAAATTACCCTTTTGTAGGTCTATTTCTAGCTTAACCAACATGGCTTACTTCAAAGCGTTCTTCGAAATACAGTTTTTTTTTTGGAAAAACAGGGTCTTTCCGGAAATACAGGGTCTGCTTTCATAACTTCTTTCAGTTTCAAGTGTTGTACTTGAAGGAGCATTGACTGAATTCTCAAAGACCCTCTGATTTATAATGGATGATTTGACTGAGTAGATGTCCTGATGCATTTGATCGCAAGAACATTTGCTCTCAATGTGATATATGACGTTCTTTGAAAATATACGACTATTGATAGTGAGAGTTTGTTAAGGCTACGATTAACTATGGGTTCAGGCATGGTTATTTCATAGTGAACCTATTTTTTAGACTTTTGTTAGCAGAAAAAGGACCTTAGACTTGTTTTTTGTCAATTAAAAGAGCGCTGGTAAAAAAATTGATTTGATTGCGTTTCAGACAAACTGCATCAAGTAACACATAAGAAGGACGAGATGATACAAACAGCGAATGAACTGGACCCATCTCAATGGACCGGTGGGTGACAATTGTACACGTGCCATAGTATCGTGCTTAGTTGATTTTCAGGAAATCAGCGTGTTCTACATTTTGGTCCTATGGCTCAAAGGGATCCCTACTTCTACTACTACCCAAAGGGATGGGATGTGCTCTACCCTGCTCATTTCGGGTTCTTTCCCTACCGTACTACGTGGGTGTTTATTTCATCTCTTCATTTGCTTCTTCACATGCATCATAATGTCCTTTCATTTTTTTCTATTCGAAGTTTAGCAATGTTCAAACATTAGAGTGTTGCTCATTAGAGCAGCACCGCTGCAATGTGTCTGAATAATTTGATTGGATGGTACCACAGCTATTACTACTTTTGCTATTAATTGGTGAAAATTTGCTGAAAATGTGCCATCGTCTTTCGAAAGTTCAAAGTAAGCGCGTTCATACTCTCCCCTGTCGTAGAACCGGGAGATCTTTTTCACTACCGGAAGATGTTTTTTGCTAATGCGATGAATTTCGATAAGGTTTTACGAAATGAGTTCACTCATGAGCTTCTCATTTTATGACTAATTTAATCAAGCATTCACTTTCATATTCAGTATTATTATATATTCAATCCTAATCAAATTTAAGGAAATTTCGAGGCTCATCTTCCATCGTGTGCATATGTGCCTTTGGAGTTTTCATGATTCTTGGAGGAGCTCTCATGGTATTGTGTTTCTTTGAATAATTTCGTTTCTTATCTATATGTAATCGGCGAAGAGTTTTTAGGTCTACATGGGTTTCTTTGTAATGCATGACACGCCATTTTGGACTTGGGCAGCGGAGCGGAGGAAACGTCCACCGCCAATTCAAGTCGTAGGACCAGTGCTGTTTGTGGTTGGATCCATTCTCTTGAATAGGAGCTGTTCTTTATTCGATCATAACATCTAGTGTAAGTTTGAGTTCTAGGAAGATGTTAAAGTTATCCGCGCTATTCTGCTCTTTAGGGCGGTCCTGGAGTAGTTTATTGTTTATAAGATTATTTTAGTTTTTCAAAATGTATCTACATCACACTAAGCGCCACGATGAACCAGCCAGAGTTACTAAAATAACAACCACCCATCAGGTTTGCGCTAATTTTGTGCGAGGATTCTGTGTTTTTCATGGCAGTTTTTGTTCTCATTTCTCTTTTCGCAAAAGAATTTCGATTAGTTAATCTTCAAGCTATGACCCGGCAAGCAAATCACTCGTGCTTCAGGTAGTTCCTCCAGTTTTCGAAAAGCATCCGTATCAACCGCTCCCTCCTCCAGCTTATCCTGTGTTGGAGAACAAATATGCTCACTCGTCCATTGTTCGTCCCCACGATGAAATGAAGTTATATCCACCAGTGTAAGTCTTTCTTCTAGACTGTCATCTTTGATTGGAGGAATTCTCAGTTCCATGGGATTGAAGGTCGAACAATGAGCGACTACATTATATTTCATCTAACCGTTTCCTTTGTCTCGCTTTCGGGTTCCAGGGTAGTACCTCATCTGTCACAGAATACTTTTTTTGCCAGTCTTCCTTTTGCTTTTATTGTTGAGCTAGTGCCTTAAACTGGAGTGGGGGATTGTGAACTTACAAGCCTATTAATGTTTTCGAAATGCTCATTCTACCGGTTGCGGTCAGGCGCTAACGTAACATTGAAGGGGGGGGGGCAACTCAGCCCGGAAGAGAGGAGGAACTCTGGGAAAAATGATGATGGCTCACGCTTCCTAGAATTCTCTTTCCACCGTCTAGGGCTTACTTTTAGTCTCTTTTTAACACAATGGAAGGTGTTTTAGAAGTTTGC